TTATTTAATGATAAATGAAACCGATTTTAAAAATAAATGAAACAAAGGAGGATGAAATAAATGAAAGTGAAAATGTTCAACAAAAAATAAACGTTGTTAAACCAATTACTGAAATAAAAATTTTTTCATCTGTTGAAGAATTTAATAACTATTATGCTAACAATAAAAAATTATTTGAAGAATTGACAACATGTAAATTGAATAAAATGTTTAAAGTTGATGGATTCAAAATTTCAAAAATAAAAGGAGTGGTTAGTTTGAAATCTATTCCACAATCAAGAATCACCTCATTAATGAAAATAGATGATTTAACAAAAAGAATAGAAATTATTGAAGAAAGAATGAATCAAATAATTGATTTCATAAATCATGACTCGTTGAGCCCGGGTCCTTAAAGCCCATCACTGAGTTCAAGGTTATATTCATCAAATATTTCATTATTAAATGCAACTTCTGCTAGTTTATTTATTTTTTCAATACGATCATTTGAAAGTCTATCGTTTAATTTTTTCTGAAGTTTTTCATTTTCTAGTTCTGAAACTTTATTTGGATGATATTTAAACCCGTTAAATTCTTTTTCCTCAGTTTTGATCATTAATTTACAAAGAACTTTTGTGGTTGGAATTCGTTTAAACCATTTATCATTAATATTTGTTATAAATTCAATATTCGGAATTAATTCCCAAATTTTTGCATTTTCAATTAATTTATTATCAAATGCAAAAGCAATAGGTTTAATATTAAACTTACCTTTATAATATAAACTTTCTACATAATCATCGAAATAAACATCTACTTGTTTAACATTTTCAAGAATTGGTGAAAGAGCATCCATTAATTGATTGACGGTTACGAATCTTGATCCACTCATTTTCTTACGAATTAAAAAAATAAATTATTCAAAAATGTAAGACATGAATTTTTAAAGTTTATTTTTTATTCATGAAAATAATTATATCTGATTTCTTTTACTCTCTCGTATATACTAGATTTAAAGAATTCAGAACATTTCCCATAATCTCCTAAATGTTTTCTTATCTTATTGGTTTTCCATTCATTATATGAAACTGAATAAACTTTATCTTTATCTTTGCATCTTTCATCACTTCCAATATATTTATATTTCAATTTTGATTTATTGGTTTCATATTCATTAACGTTTAATAATTCACAGTCTTCCTTTTTAAATAAATGTTTTATGTATTCAGGATTAACAATTCTATAATATTGCTTCCCTTTAAATCTTTGAATATAAACAGGAACACCATCCTCTAAAATTCGATAATCTATTTTATCTGGTTTTACTTGTTGGGTCATTTATGTAAGAATAAAAAAATAAATTATGTTTAAAATTAATGTTAAAAATAATGATACAAAATCGTTCAATATTGTATGAATTCTTACGTTTACAAAAAAAGTCACATAACCCGTCCTATCCTACTACTTTTTATTCCAACAAAAACACGTAAACAGATGAATGGAAACGTACTATATTTTCATAAATGTAGTAATCAGCGTGTCAGCTTTTGTTTATCATGTTCGAGTCAAAATGTATTAACTTGTAATAAGAAATATTCGAAGATTATATGAAGTATTGAGCATTCTTTGTAGAAATATTTGTAATTCATTACTAACATATATAATAAAGTTGTTTTTTTTTTCCTTATTGCAATAATTTTGTCTGATTTTAATAACTTTTCATGTATACGAGTTGTGTGAATATGCATCATAATATGCGTAAATATACTTATTTGCGACGAATAATGTGGTTGCATAATGGAGGTGCTAAATTTTGATTTTTAATATGGGGCTTTGGTATGTATAATCATGTTCTTATCTCAACGTAGGAGTATTGGTGCAATATGATTAAAATTTACGAGGTTGATCTTAAATTGAATAATTCTGGAGTATAAATCACAATGCAGCTAATTCTATGTTAAAGATAGATACAGATTGTAGTAATCAATTAGGGAGTACAAATTCATTCTTTCATTTCTGTCGTATTGAGCAGAAAGGAAGAGATCATAACCCTAGGAAAAAAAGCCCAAATTTGTCACTTTTCATAGTACGTTAAACTCAATTCGCTCGGCGAATGCCGAGCACACGTACTCATCATTCAACATAATATTCTCATTCTTTGGTTATTATAGTGCCAGACAACACAAGATTTCAAAGAATTACTTGAGTTTTCAATTAATCTTAATCCGATTTTAGATTTATCGAGAACTCCATCATCACAATCACATACTTCAGTGCGGTAACTACAATTATCCATATACAGAAGGAAGTTCTTTTCGAACAACTCATTTGGAGTCTGTTTTGGAAAGAACTTCTTTCTGTCCGACTTAATTTCATAGTTCCTGATCAACCAAAAGACAGAAACCACACATTATCTACTTAGGAAAGGAGTTCTTTCTAAATCTTCCTTAAATTGAGATTTTACGAGAGATAACCCTTCTATTGCACTTAAAAATGAACATTTTGATATCTTTAGTATCACACATGGTCATATATAGTATTTCATCTACATGAATACATTCATCTTTCGAAGTCTCTCATTAAATGGGAGGCTTCGAAAGATGAATCGTTTTATTCATACAACTTTAAATCTCGAACACATTTAGAGAGTGAGTATATCATTTTATTCTTGTTTTGAGTTTATTCTGATTCAAAATTGCAGTGAAAACAGAAGTTCACACATCATATCTGAATGTGAGCTCATCTATACTTATACGATCTCAATACCTCCACTCTAAGCATAAGAGGTGAAGTTATATAAAAATTATCAGATGCGTTGAAGTCTCAAAAGTATTGCCTGAATGCTTGTTTCATATTTGTCCAAGTAGTTTCAATGAATAAATGTATTGTTTTTTATAATTTCGATTTATTTTTAGAAAATATTCAATATAAACCTTTATTGTGTTATTTACATCTCATAAATTCTCTGTCTAAATCATATAAAAGCGCGTTTTACCCCTATGAATCAAGAAATTCATTCAATATTCATGGTATATTTATTAAATTTATACGATTTACTAATAATCAATATTATATCCTCATAAATAGCAATATATTTTGGTAATCTATGATAATCATATACAATATTTGAAATCAAATTTTCATTAGTTTAGGTTCCTTGTTAATAGTAAACCATTATATTTATTACTAATAATAAAATCTATGTGTCGTATTGAAATTCAATAAAATTACTTATTCGGTCCAAAAAAACAAATTAGATAAAATTTTTCTTTTTTTATGTAATTTTTGTTTTTCATTTTTCTCAAGATCCTAAGTATAGATCCAAGGTGATGTGATTTTTGCATCCCTGGGATGGACGATACACCCAAAGTGTCACCTTTTTGGGATAACATGAATTTTAAATATCATGAGAGTTCTGCAAACCATATGCACAATATCTATTCAGCCTGACTTCTTGTATATATGAGTTAGACTTCTTAAATATTGTGCTTGGGGCGATATAAGCATTTCCGAGATTACCATCGTGCTCTATAGTATGCTACTTCTCCCTGGTTCTAGCTCAGTTCCAAGGATATTGGCGTTCAAGGATTTGGCAAGGTCCTTCCGAAGTCTCTCATTCGATGAGAGATTTCGGAAGAATCTTGCCTTAAAGTACTCCAACTCTTGTTCTTTTGTTCCTAAATAGTGAGAAAAGTTATTTGACTACTTAAGGTAGAGATTATCCGAGGTCCCTCATTTGATGAGAGGCCTCGGATAATCTCTGCCTTAAAATTGTACACTTGTAGTCCATGAGAGTGTAAGTATACATTGATAGGACAGCTTTCTTCTGAAGTCTTAGATTTGATGAGAACCTCAGAAGAAAACTGTCCTATTTTATAGTAAAAGGAGTTTCAGGAGCTCCAAAGCTCCCTTTAGTAAGGATTAGAAGTTTTGAAGCTCCTGGTTCGTAGACGTGTTTCGCATCTTTCATCAGAAGAGGCCCAAATGCTAAATAGCCTCTGCTGATGAGCTTCAGGAGCTCCAAGGCTCCCTCTCGTAACGATTAGGAGCTTTGTAGCTCCTGAAGGTAAGGTAGGATTGCTCTGATCTCTAATCAGTAGATGCCATGCCTCATTATGAACTCTACTGACAAGAGATCAAGAGCTCCAAGGACTCCCTTTTTAGTTAGTGGCGTTCTCACCATTTAGTAGGATTGCTGATCCTACTAATGAAGTGATCACTTAGTATACGTTTTGAATAAATTGAATTTTTTTTAGAATTTAGTATTTTTTTATAGACATCACATGTATATTATAAATACATAAATATATTCTTTAATTCAAAAAATTCAATTCGGTTTTGGGATGGGTATCCCAGCCCCAAGTATTCAATTTTATTCAATTTTTAAAGAATTTTGGGTTGGGATGCCCAGACCAAAACAAGCTTTATATTTTGATGTGTAGATACGTATGTGTGCATCATTGTTGTGTTATATATTATGTTTTTAATGAAAAAAAAATCTGATTCAAAAAAAATTATCACTAATTAGTTGATAATATAAAGAAAAAATAGATAAATTGTATGTTTTGAGAGTATTTATCCACATTCACTCATATGAATTTCATTAAATAGTGTCTTTTTACTCCCAAATTTATTTTGAATTATTGAAATCAAAGAAAAAAAATCAGAAAAATTTCTCGAAATTTTTATTTTCAAAAAAAAATTTGGATTTTATATTGAAAACTGACACTGGGAGGACGATAGGGCTGGGATTGGAGATACCCCGCTCACTTGGGAAAAATACGGATCTATAATCCTAAGTTATGTTCTAACTTTTGACATCATATCCTATCATGCTAGGCTATATATTATAGCATATCCAAAAGGCAAGGAAATCTATCAGAGAAGCCTTTTTGACCTATCGTTGCCCTACCTCTCATTTTGACAGAACTTAATATGGAACAATTGAGAAATAAGAGAAACAAAAATAAATCACAATGTAAAATATTGCCCATTGTCAAATTTCTTTCATCTGATTATTAATGCTAACAAATAACAATGAGATCCTTGACTATCTAGATGACTTGATCAAAAAAGCTGAAACCGAGAATGCAAACTTGAAATCCCAAGTTGGAAATCAAGGCGCAACTACAAACAATTCTATACCAGATAAATTAAACTATAGAATTGGCAACTCTCGTTATGATAGATCCATTGCAACTAACGTTGATTTTGCTAAACTTCTTCAGACATTAAAGCAAAATCAAGGTGACCCAGATAGAGTTGCCTTCGAGTACGAGAATCGTAAAGTTTGGGTTAGAAATGATCAAGATGTTAAGTTCATGATCCAGCAACATTTCTCTCGTAATGACGAGTTCCTCAAATTTATCGATACAAAGGACCAAGAATTCAATGAAATTTCATCCCTTTCTTTATCAGCCGAAGCCAAGCCTTCTGCTGATTCGATTCATGTTTATTTTGGACTTCCAAAGTGTGATTGGTTCATTTTATTAAACCTTACACCAAATCTTCAATATACTGCAGCACTAAGCTACTTGGCGAAGATTAATCCGAAACAAAAGTCCGTGCAACTATTGGATAGCGATGGATACGCAATCCAATCACCAAACCAAGATGCTTGGGAATACTTCTGCGCAGACGCAATAGAAGGAGCCAAGGTTGGTAGATACTCAACTATTATCTCTGAATAGAGGTAACCTTTCGGATTTTTACTCAAAAAAAACTTATTTGTATTTCGCTCTAATTCAGCTTATATATTTTCGAGCTAAATTTGAGTTGTTACTTCACTAAATCATATATATTTTAACTACGATCATTTTCTCTCTAAAATAATATTGCCATTTGAAATTATACAAATCTGATGATGAGCTAATCCAATATTTGATGTTTATTAGATCTCGCAACTCTTGGTCCCAACTATGAAATGAAAAACTATTTTGAAATTTAAATATACTGAAAATAGCTTTGAATATCTAGTATATAAACTCTTTTAGAAGTTTTTAAGTGGGCTCATCGATTAAACATTTCGAAAACTTATACCAAAGATTCTCAAAATTGAACATGAAAACAACTCGATACAAGGAAGATCTTTGAATATATTGCTTGAAGGTTTGAGAGTATATATGATCTTCATAAAGCACCAAATGTTGCCTGCATGTTTCACTTATCTTAGTTTTTCCAGACAAGATTTTTTTGCCAATCACTCCAAATCACTTGATTTTATGGATATATGTCAAAGACAACACATAATTAATAATAATATTTTTTATTTTCAAAAAGGTATTTTTAATGGGCCAAAAATTGAAAATTTTTAATTTCTCTAGTTTCTAGCCAGAATCAATATAGAGTTCATATGCAAAAAGTGAAACTACTATGGTGTGGAAAAAAATATCAAAGTTCCCCACTTAAATACTATATATATAACAAGGCTGTCATGCACCAGTGTGTTATAACAGATCGATTTTATTTGAAATTTCATAAATTTTATTTGAAATTTCATAAATTATAATAAATTTGATATTCAGAGACGGCGCTACGCGCCTTTTAGCATTCTGGGCACGTAAGTGCCCAGAATGCAAGCTTGAGAAATTTGAAACTTCGTTTCAAATTTCTGCCATGCTGTTATGGAAAAAGAAAGTCAGTACAAAAAAAATTTTTGAAATTGAGAATAAAAATAATATCGTGATTTTTTGTGATATATGGATTTTTTTAGAAGATTTTAGAGATTGAAGTCTCAATTTATAAAAATTTTTTAAATTGAGAGGAATTTTAATGATATTATTTTATTTGATATTTGGATTTTTTAGAAGATTTTAGAGATGTCAGTCTCAATTTAAAAAAATTTACAAAAAATGATCGTAAAATAATCGTTTTTGTTCAAATCCTTTTCATTTCGGGAAATTGAAGTTAAATATCAAAGTGATGGTCTATGCATATGTTAAATCAAATCATTAAAAAGTGTTTTGATGACTTTTTCTAGCCGCAAATTGTCACTTTTTGATGTTTTAAAATTATTATATATCCTATATGCATATAAGATACAAATTAATATTAAAACTCCAAAATCGATTTTTGAGAGAATCAAATTTATCACATCTCATCGTTGTTCCGAATTAATATTTTATTTGTAATGTACATAAAAAAAAAAAAAAAAAAAAAAAAAAAAAAAAAAAAGGTAGTGGGGCTTCCAGGGCTGCCCCCCTCTAGCCCTGAAGATATTTAGTATAAATGAAGTTTTTATTCGGTATATTCTGAATCTTGAATGTCTTGGAAATTTTCTTCTTCTTCGCTCTCTGAGGTGAGGATTTCTTCGACTTCTTCTTCGTCATCTGGTGCTACGTGTCCAGCTATAAATACTTTGTAGAGTCCATCTGGAGGTGTCTGTATTATGAATGTGGTATCGTGTAAGAATACAAACTCAACATCCTGTTTGAATTGGCAATTTGAATTAGTGAATTCTGCCAATTTTATAGGATGTCCTTTGGTAGCTTTCGGGAAGCTTGAAATACTAACTTTGCCACCGTATGGAACTCTTTCTGGTGTATCTAACGCTATAGTGGATATGACATGGAAATTGTCTTGAAATTCTGGTAAAGGTTGTATACAATATAACCGTTTTGACTGTCCTGGTTTGGTAAAAAAGTATACGTAAAAGGACCTTTGCCCATACTCATCCAATTCTTCGAGATAGTTGTAGGTATTGGGGATATATGCTGACATACTCAGCAATTTTCACATTTCGCAAATAAGTTTGCATATTTTTGGGGAAAAGTCTAATAAATTGGTCGATGGCTTGTAGTGCAATTAGGTTTGCTGTAACAGGCAAGTATTGAACAAACAAGTCCACGAGAACACCTGGGTCTTTAACTTCATTTTCAACTGGTTGCAAACTATCCATAACAGACTGAAACACTTCCGAATAATCGGTGTCGTCTTGAATTCCCCATTGGTTTTTGAGTTTTTCAAGGAGTTGAAGTCTTTTTTTAGCATATTGCCTGCGAACACGTTCAGGTATGGTAGTGTTTTCTTCTGTATTTTCTGTATCTCCTGATTGAAATTGCTTCGCGAACGCGAGGTATCTCATCTGGGACCTTGTCGTCATCGATGACGCGCTTGGTTGTTCCTCTGTTGTTTCGTTTGTTTGTATGGTATTTTCTTGAGTAGATTGTCTTGAATTGTTGGACAATTGGTTTGCAATTGGAGAAGACTGTAAAACTTGTCCTGTTGTGTCTGGTACAACTGTATCTGTTGTTTCGTTTGTTTGTATGGTATTTTCTTGAGTAGATTGTCTTGAATTGTTGGACAATTGGTTTGCAATTGGAGAAGACTGTAAAACTTGTCCTGTTGTGTCTGGTACAACTGTATCTGTTGTTTCGTTTGTTTGTATGGTATTTTCTTGAGTAGAATGTCTTGAATTGTTGGACAATTTGTCTTGAATTGTATGAGGAAGTTGCTTTGGTATTATAGGAGGTCGTAAGGGTTTTGAGAATGGTGAGACATAAGTTGTAGGAACTTTAACTGCAGAGGTAGTCGACGAATTGTTTGCAATTGTATGAGGAAGTTGCTTTGGTATTATAGGAGGTCGTAAGGGTTTTGAGAATGGTGAGACATAAGTTGTAGGAACTTTAACTGCAGAGGTAGTCGACGAATTGTTTGCGACACTTTTTCTTCCTTCCATTAGACAAAAATGAACTGTTTTTTTTCGGACTACTCATAGAAAAGTTTAAAATAAACCGTTTTCGTCAACGGAGACCCCCTCTATTTTTTATTTTATTTAATAGTTACCGTTGGCAAACCGTTCCATCTCAAATATTGAATGAACTATAAACGTTTTTTGTTTTCTATATATACTTTTTTGTCCAACGGTCAAACTTTTTACACAACGGTTTTTGAGAGTCGTCGCCGTTGACTTTTTGTAGAGCACTCAAAATAGTATAACTTTGTCCTGACAAGTAAGGGTCTATCGTCGCTACAGGAAAAGTTACAGGCGTTCCAAGGAAGTATACTTTGAGAAGCCTTTTCCCCCTTATAGAATGAGATAGGACGGTTATTTTACAAAACTGTCAACACTTTGACCGAGTAGTTTTTTGTGCTGAACAAAAAGTGTCATATAAACATCTGTCAAAAACCGCTTTTTAACTTCACTTAAAATGCCACGTAAGCTACGTAAGAATATACGTAAGAGGAAGAGAGCATTGAAACATCCAATAGTAAAACTGACACCACAACAACAGTTGCAACAACAAATGCTGAATGACCCCACTATGTTGCAACAAATGTCAAGCAATCCTATGCTTTTAAACCGAGTTGTTGGTGCACAGAGTGGAGGTTTAAGAGCGGCACTTTTAGCGAAAATGGCAGGCTATGGTGGAGCTGCAGACGGAACAGCCTATAACCCTCAAAGTCAAATGAATTTGAGTTCACTCAAAAATCAAATATCAGATGTCAAAAAGTCAAACATAGACATACAGAAGCAAATAAGTGAAAACGAAAAGAAACTAGAATATGACAGACACACAAAGAAACTCAATGAGTTAAACGTAGAGAAAAAGAAGAAAGAAGAACAACTGAAAGAACTAAGTACAGAGGAATATGCGAAAAAAGTGTCAGAAAAAGCAGCAGAAGTAGCAAAAATGGAACAAGATGTCATAAATTTGAAAAACCATACTACTCAATATAAAATACTGAAAGATGAAGAGATAAAACAAAAAGCCCTGAAGACATATATGGATAGCGATGAGTATAAAAAAGAAGTTGAAGCAAATGTAAAGGCAGAAAAACTTTTACAGTTGCAAAACCAAACCGTACAGTATGAAAACTTAGCACAAGAAAGTAAAAATAACGACGCAGCATGCAAAAGGCAATGAAAAGCGCAGAATATATAAAAGCTAACAATGACTGGTTAGATGCCCAAGCCAACGCTAAAGCAGCCCAACTCATAGGGTCAATAAGGACAAAAATACAAGCGGATGAAGACAGTTCAAATGAAGCTTTAACAAATGCTGACTTTAAGAACGCTTTCGAAGCTCTTCATAGTAAGGTGAAACAAGTGAACGACTTCTCATCTGGAAAGAAACTGAAGTCTGAAGGTTTCGACAAAGAGTTAAGAGAAGTAGCACAAAATATGACGAAAATAACAGATGCAGCAACGAGACAGGCAGTTCAAAGTGCCTATGACGCCGTTAGAGCAACTGTTGTGAAAAGTCAAGAAAAAGAGTTACAACAGACCAAAACAGACCTAGTAAATGCTTTCTTAAAACGAAAAGTCAGGTAGGACATTACGCTGCAGATGGAACATATGTGCCAGCTGGTGGAACTTATATACCACCAAACCCTCCAAGAGAAGCACCTGCACCAGGACTACCTAAACATTTACATCGTCACATGGACACAGACACAGGCATGCACCAAAACCAACACAAAACCAGCACAACAACCACCTCACAACCAGCACAGCAACCAACAGTTCAAAACCCTGCACAACAACACCACAAACAGAGCAAGGACATAAAAGAAGTAGAGAACAAGGAAACCAAGAATTCTTAAAAATGCTTAAAGAAGAGTGTGGTTTCCCAGATACTGTTGACTTTAGTGACAGATATAAAGAAGCTATTGGAAAGTTCAAGGATGGAAATACTGACCCGAACCTATTTAGCTTTATGGCTCAGCACCAAAACGGATATAATCTCAAACCTGGAAAATACAAGCTCGCTAAGGGATATGATTTAATAGCATATCATCCAAATGACATGGAATTTACTCCGAGATATTTGATGTCAGAGCTAAATGACAATTCAACTTTCGTCATGAAACGCGTAAAAAATAGAGACGGAACGAAAGAACAAAAGCTTATGAATGCGGATGACGTAGATAGGGAAATTGTTGAAAACGGTCTCGGAATATATGAAATGCCAGCAGATGAGGTACAAGAAACTCCACAGGAAGAATAGTTCAGATACAACCAGACATGGAAGAAATAGTTCAGCAACAACAGCTAGAAGAGCCTGAAGGAAACGAACAAGTCACTCCTTTGGAAACTAACTTCACAGAACTAGATGAAGATTTGGAACAGCCGAAAAATCTTGACCCTCAACAAGAGTATGCGGAGAATATGGAATATTTCCAAGAGTCTAAAAAAAATTCGGCTGACATAGTAGAAGAATATCGAAAAATGTTTGCCGACATACAAAAGACTCCAACCAGATGAAAATATTCAGCATAGAATGGAAGAACTGAAAGAAAATGTACACAAATACAACAACCCTTTTTACTTACGAGCATTTAACGTTCAATCTTCGGATGAACTCGGTGAAATAAAAGGTTAAATTTCAAGAAAACATATAGAAATGAAACATTGTTTAAAGTTCATTCAGAACCTAACCAAGATGGAAACAAACCTACTTTTGTTTCTGCAGACGATGGAACTACAATGAGATGGGGTCATAAAGCTAATCCAGATAGGTGGTTCATAAACTTACAACCACAATTCCAAGAAGTTGTAGACGCAATGGAAGTCAATGGTGAACCAGATATAGCTGGTATTTTCAGCGCGGCTTTAATGCCATTGAAAGATATGAAACATGCAGATATTTTGGACCAGTATGAAATGAACATGGCTGATGGAAATATAACACCTGACGTTCTAGAACATTTATCTCAAAGAACTACACAGAACCATAGAGATGGTATATTTGGTGAAGAGTTTAGAAAGAAAGTTAGGGAGGGAGAAGGAAGAGAACCTATTGTACATGACCTTGCAAACGAAAGTTTACAAAATGTCATAAAAACTTACTTTGCAGACAATGAACCGAGAAGGGATGAATATTTAAGAAAACTCAAATGGACAGTACCAAATGAAATGTTAGTATTGAAAAACATGTTCCTTGACAAAATAAAACCAACTACAGAAATAAACGACGCAAGACTGAAAGATTGGGTAAAAGCTTTCCCATTCACAAAAGATATAGTTGGTAACATGGAAAGAAAACCAGAATGGCTACAAAAACATATATTTGGAAACGAGCTTATTCCATATGGACAGGCACTGTTTGAAGAGCTTGAACCAGAAACTCAGGAAAGAGTCATGCAAACAATACGCGAAGACTCAAATACAGACTATGACAAACTCTTTCTAGGATATAGGTTACCTGAGATGGGCGACCAGAGCCAAAAGGCAAAAAGGACATGGGAAATTTGCAACATACTAGATGAACATAATGCAAAGATGCAACAACTTCAAGCAGAGGGCAATGAAGGAAAAAGAAGAGTTAAAAACTCAGTCAGGAAGAAAGTAAAGCTTGGTCCACGTGGGTTCTATTATGACATATAAATCCAACTATTCTATATTTTTACTCATATGAAATGTACGCCGCTCAGAATATAACGCCAACAGTTTTGGATGCTATGAATGGAAATGTTTCCGAATGGTATAACGAATGCGACAATGCCATTAGAAGGTCAGAAATAGTTCCTGGAACTTACGAATATACAACTGCTGTTTCTTATGGAAACGTAGGTGAGTTTGGAGAAGGTTCTTCAACAACAGTAGATATTGCTTGCGACAGGTTTCATATAATTTCTATTGACAACTCTTTCTTATACGTGGAACAAGACATTGAAATAAAACCTTCTGCCAAGTTGTCTGACAAGAAAGGTTGCAATGGAATTTTCTATGTCGGATACCAATATGCTCCAGAAGTTTTCATGGGATATAAGATATATTCTAACTCTGACTTAGTTCAAACAGTAACATGGGCAAACTATGAATGGTTCGCTTTGAGAAACTCAGTACAACCACAAGCTAGAGAACAAACAGACCAGTATGCAACTATTGAGAAAATAAGAAGACTTGACCCTAACGTTCCAGGAGTTTATGTTAACCTTTCTGGTTCAGATGGAAATGCAGCACTAAAGTAAAACTGAAACTTAGAGTTCCTTTGTCATCTTTCCTCATCTTCAGGTTTTTAAGATACTTGCCAAACTGGGCAGGAAAAATTTCTATCGAACTTACTCCAAGCAAAAATAACTTAGTCATTGCACCAACACAAGACCCATTCACTCTTACTGTAGCTGGAACTGTGGAGCCAATTCGCCGACTTTTGCAAAGACAAAGTTGACTTAGACTTTGGTTTCTCAAACCTCAACACTGAAGTAAACTATTATTTCAATGCTGCTGGAACTGCTTGGGACCCAGTTAAGTTCACATGCGAAAAGTTTGAATGCAAGAGAATAGAAAGCAGACTTGCAGTCTATATGTTGGACCCAGATATTTCAAATGCTTTAGCTGCCAAATATATTGCAGTTCCACTTATGTTCCCTATACACCAAATATCTGTCAAAGACTTTGCAGGTGAAGTTGGAAACCAAAGTGCTGACCCAGGTGCAAGAACAGATATTGCTTTAACAACTGCAATGAAACATGCAGATACTATGTTTGTACTGTTCAGACGAACTATAAATGACTATTCTTGTTTCTACAACCCTGGTATTAAATACCATATAAACATAGATGGCAAATATTATCCAAGAGAAGAATATTCTACAGTTGAGGATATGAGGTCATACAACTTGACATTAGATGCTATGAACTTTAACAACAACTTCACAACAACCATTAACCCTGAAATGCAAAGTTCTATTATGCCATATGTGAAAGTATGGACCATACAGGAGTCAAAAAACTCAATATACAAATGGAGACCGTTCAAACTTTTGGCTTGGCATTCCATTTGCTGACTCAGAAGACTTTATGGGTGGTATTTCAACTGTTGGTACAGTTCAAATACAATATACTGGTGACAGAGACGGTCCAATGAATTGAAAGCAAAGAAGTTTACAAAACCAATAGCACTTTTCACGGAAGATGCTCTTTTGAAATTCGTTCGATGAAACCTGCTGGGGCTCCTCAGATTGGTAACGACAGCTTCCATCGAGCAGATTTTGGCAGCAGGTCAGTAAGTTGTTCTTGAACTGACTTCTCTCCGTCAAATATTGACAGTACGCCAGTTTTGACATAAAATTGTATTATAAACTTACCTTTAGAAATATCGGTCAGTTTTGTTGTTATATTTTTGTCAACGTCAAGAACTTTCACCATCTCGGTTATACCAACTTTCTTTGCTTTATGAAAATATTTTGGTTCAGCAAAGACTGCTATTCTATAACATTTTCCATTGTTTGTAAAGAACTATTCTGTCAATGAACTTGTATTGTTTGTGTGTGTAAACTTTGTTCTGCTTCAATTCGAAGAGATACTCAAATACGTCCATCTTTTTATTCTAAGTAAAATGTCATTTCCGAAAAATAGAAGCGTAAGTGTTTCAAAAGGTTTAATGGCGGTGGCAGATGTGAAGTTAAATTCACCAACTCAAACAAACAGTCAAAGTGTTGTTGTCAATGTCAAAGAAAAGATGTTGAAGTGGGGAAACCATACGAAGACGAAGATGGTATAACAATAGTTCCTGTAAAAGAACAACCAACATACCCTGAAGTTAGCAGAGACTTAAGTTCTGTTGCAGATATTCGAAACGACTACCAACAACTTAAAGACAAACTTAAAACTCAGGAGAAGATTTGTCAAGCTTTGGGTATAATGTTAAACTTGGTCGAGCACAACCCTGTAAAAGTGAACTCATATGTCATTGCACCTCATGAAGTTTTGAAAGAACTATTGAAACTTTTGACAGAGGCAGACGATATAAACATCAAAGAAATAGAACCGACGTTAGTTGCTGTGGTGTTTCATATAATGTCATTGACAAGATATACGTTATGAAAGGAGGTGAAACGTTGAACTTAAAATATAGTTTCCCAGACGTCATAAAAATATTTGACGACCACAACATTTCATTAAAATTTACTTGCTAAGTAAATGGCAGAAGACATAGTGGTTTATACTATTACGACTAAAAACCCTGAGTCATATAATTCTATAACAACAAACTTACAAAGTCCTCAAGGACGATATTGTAAACTGACCTTAAACACGATGACGACTAAAGCCTGTTTTGCTCTTTTGACACCAGAAGACTTTGTTGTTGTGAATGGTAAAAAATACTCTTTGAAGATACTTACTCAGATATACCACCAACAGGTTTTGTTGACTTATTTAATACTTTAAGGACGGATGTAACATGTGCTGCAACTAGAGCAGGTTTCATTATGTTTGGATGTCCGACTGAGTTTACTATAAACGATATGAGCTATAATACAAAACTTATATCTGGTTTTTACTACCAACAGTTTCCTATAACAGGAAAAGGTGTCATACAAGGTGTCTGTTCCATTGACTTTAAGTACACCTATTTTATATATTGTTTCAAACTTAGGTTCAAAGTGCTATTCGAATGTCGACAGAAACTACTATGACCAAAAGATACTCATGCGTATAAACAACACTTTCTCTGCTGGTTTGCCTATTGTTCATTCGAATGCAGAGTTTTCAGCTTTAGTAAACTCAAACACTTTAGCAAACATAAACTTAACCTTAGTTGACGCAAACTTTGTTCCTGTAAAACTTTTATGTCCTATGTATTTGTCAATGACGGCAGAAAGTTTCGAATTGGAAGATGCAACTGGTGAAAGTATTGTATTACAAGAACAACTTCAACAACAAATAGCTCAAGAACAACAAATGCAACAAATGGAACAACAAAGTCAAGAATAAAAAAATATATTTTTTTTATTTTTATAAAAATGTACAGAATAGATGTTTCAGATTTTTATGACTTCCAAGCATTCAGAAATATGTGTCCATTTAGAGACTATAACAAAGCAGTCGAGAATTTGAAACGTTTAGTCATTTATGTCGACTCTGCCCCAGAATGTTATGTCATGAAAGAATGGGATGTTGTCTTTAACAAACCAAGAGCAACAATAGTTTCAGAACAAGAATGTAGACAGAAACTTAAGAAAATAAAAGTCGTACAAGTTGGATGAAGATGTTAGATGCTTGGGATATCTTATTGTCAAAGTTAGAAGATTTTTCAGTTCGTGGTATAAAGTTCTATACACCTTCTCCAAACTTCTATTCTATCTTCACTGGATATAAATACGAACAAGTAGAATGGAAAGAAAATATTATAGAAGCTTGGTTAGACCATGTCAAAGAAATTATATGCAATGGAAACGAAAAGTCTATGAGTATATCTTATGTTGGTTTGCAAACATCTTACAACATCCAAGTGCTAAAAATGAAACTGCTCTCATTATAATTGGAAAACAAGGAACTGGTAAGAACACTTTCTTTACAGATATTTTGTGCAAACTGTTAGAAGGTATTCGAACCGAATATGACAAACTTAGAAAACATCTGCGGTAAATTTAACTCTTCAATAGAGAATATGAAACTTATAGTTGCAATGAACTTCAAAGTATAGATACAACAAAAGTTTTGAACTCAGATGCTTTGAAGAGTCTTATAACAGACAAAGTTGGAGTTGTTGAAAGAAAATATAAAGACCAAAGAGTTTGTGAAAATGTTGCAAATTTCATCATGGTTTCAAACAATGCCGTTCCGATGAAGTTAGAAAGTTCTGACAGAAGATATGTAGTTGTCAGAACGTCAGATTCTCATATGCAAGATACAGAATATTTTGACGACTTAGCAGAAACTTTGACACCTAACTTTTACAACCACTTGTTCTCATATTTCATGACATTAGATATTTCTAAGTTCAATCCAAGACAAATTCCACATACCGAAGAAAGACAAACATTGTTAGAAGCAAACAAGAGTGTATATGAACTGTTTATAGATGAGACTAACTTTGAGTGTTTAGATGAAAGGTCATTGTACGATTCATATAAACAATATTGTCAAGAGTATGGTTATATGGCAGCTTCTAAACGTACATTCTTGGCAAATGTCAAAAGTCTTTTAGATGTTCAGAACGGCGTATATACAAAGAAAAATTTTTTGAGTAAATTTAAAAAAAATATTTTTTTATCCGATAGAAAAGATGACGAAATATATTTCAGTCAACAAGTACATGTCAGGACTTAAAGAAGAACTAGACCCATTCGCTTATTTGAATGTTTACTTCTACCATTTTGAAAAGTCTACATTTGACAAAGTTTGGAACATCGAACCAGTTAAGTTTGCTATTGTGACTAAAAATGGTGCGAAATTTGAAGACTTAGACATAGAAGGTTTGTTAGCAGTCAAAGAAAATTTTGACAGAAGGTTTCAAACCTTAAAGAAGGCAAAGCATACAAACTTGTTATACCTTATGAACCAAAGAAAGCAGACGACTATGAATATTATGAGTCTAAGATAGTTGAAGTTCAAGGTAAATTGGGTAAAAAGATTTTAGAGTCTAAGCCAGTGTT